GCTAGTTCATTTAAATGACAATGACACGTATAGACCTTTATTGAGAGACCCAACCGAAAGACTTAAGACTGGGCTAAAAGTTGCCCTTAAGGTATGTGTAGGTAATGGTGAATTGGAGAAGTGGAAAATGAATTAACTACTCTAGAGAGATGCAAGGGCCCCCACGGCTTATGGTCTGCCTAAGGTTCACAAAGAGGGTGCCCCCTAAGATTAATTCTAATTAATAAAAGAGTCGTGATGCATAAAATCTCAGGGTTTTTATGCATTCAAATAAGGAACTCTGCCAATTATTGTCTATATTCAGTTAAAAATTCGTATGATTTGGTGAAAGTGCTAGATCAGCAGACAATTTCAGAAGAGGATAATCCAGTAAGCTTTGATGTTGTGTCCATGTACACAAACATTCCTATGCAAGGAGATATTCAAGCTCTGATACAAACTCGGGAGGATCATCCAGAGATAACAGAAGGAATAAGGTTAAATGTTGCTTCGATTATTAGACTTATTAATCTATGCATGAGTATCACATATTTTACTTTTGATGGTAACTTTTATGAAAAGATCTGATCTGTTGAGTTAATTTGTACTTCATCTATTTTGATTAGATTTCTTTATATGATTTTCCATAAGCTTTCACTACATTATTTGTGATGAGATCAGACAAGGTGATTTTATCTGAAATTTTTTATCATTGATTGAGTTCAGACTTTATGGCATGAATCGAATTCTTTTCTCATTATTTTAGATCGGATCCGATCATTTTTTCGGAGTTTTATTTTCATTATCCCTTTTAAATTTCACCATATCTAATCTCATGTTATCTTTGCTTATATTTTTTCATTTTTATGTAGATTTTCGACCCCAATAAGTGATGCTTAAGAGCTTATTGGTGCTGTTTCATTCTTTCTCCATCACCATAACCGATTGCCTATTCTCGTAATTGCCACTTCGTCACCACTACACCGCCCTACCACTCGCTCTTGGTTCGAGTTCCGTAAATCCTCACTTCTCGTCTGCTCATCTGCAGCGTCTCTGTCGTGACCCTTTTTGCCCAGCTCCGTTGTGCCCGTTAGCTGGGGCGAACCACTCGGGACGGGCAGCTGCTGTATGCAAATCGGCATACCACCACATCGGCCATTCCAACTTGCATTCCAGTGACCTTGTAGCATTTCAGCCCCTGAATCTGATCCCAGGAATACCTTTGTGGGGGGATGTGGAGCGTTAACTTAATTGACCACTTCGTGGCAACCTTAAAACAGGGAGCCTTCTTGAAATGTTTTATTGCAAAATAGGCAATAAGCAAACGGGTCCATTCAAAGAATCGAGAGGATAAGCCATTTGATTAATCTCAAGTCTGGAATAACAGTATTTGGGTGCTTGAGGATGAGCAGAGACAGACAAGCATTCATACATATACATAGACAGACGGAAAGGCAGATAGAGAAGGAAAGAGATAAATAAAGAGAGAATGCCCAAATTTGTTGATTGCTGATGGCCTTTTGCCAGCCCATCCAGTATTTGGAATGAGTAGCCAAATGAATGAATTTTTCCGTCGGTGAAGAGCTCTCGAAAACAGATCCGCTCTACTCGCATAGCTGATGTAAAAACCAAAATTCCCGCCTTCGTGACGAAAAATGAAAGTATCATATGATGTCGACTACTTATAAACCACCTGGAGAGTAGTATAATGTGTTCACAATTAAATCGAGCTGTGGGCCACATACTAATGCTACCAAACCGGTTTCACACTATGGCCATAATTCCTACTTGTGCCTCTAATGCAGCCAGTTCACAAATCCACTTTGTGCAAACTTTTGCTCTAAAATGAAATGTTGAGTAGCATAACGGTTTGCTGATATTTCCAATCTGCCTCGGTTGCACAATCTAATGCAGGTGTGATTGTTGAATTTTCCCACACCCCGATGGGCTTAGCTTGGCCTTGCCTACTCAGGGAATTGTGTGGAAATCAGCTTATTCGCCCTAGGCTGACTAAATTCTTATCCAACAATTAGTAACCCTCTCGAAGCCTACTTCTCAAGAATATAAGTAGTGCAATTGACTGTTAATGCGGAATACAAATTTGCCTCATTATAAAAAAGTGATTTTGTAGAGGTCTGGCTTTTATGAAATTCCCGTCTGCCCTGTCACAAGCAGCATTCGTGGCAGTTTGATGCAATGCGCCACTTCAAGCTGGGCTCGATTTCCGTCGGGCTTACTGACGAGATGAGACGAGTGGAGATAAGGTTGAAAATGCAGTCAAGTCCAATCCATTCGGGATAATAATCCCTTTCGGAAGACGAGTCTAAATAAAGTTCGACTGGAATGTGGCGTCTCTTTATGGGATTATGCGAAAGTTCAGTCCTTTCCCAGCCTATGCGACGTAGGATGAATAGAAGTCCTATTCAAGAGTTACAGATAGCCATTACTTTCTGAGGACGCTGGCACCGGCTTATAGCACCAACAGATACGAAGAACTGTCTGCTGAACGCAAATTGAATCCTGCGTTGGTGAAATTTTTTTAAGTGATGCTCTCCAAATGCAGTCTCCTTCAGAGCTGACCACAGAAATGACCTTTTCACTGCTTTCAGTCAGCAGATTCTAGCTCGGAACATGTGGTTCGAGGGTAAAAATGGTGTGGCTATGCTCGGATCATGTGGCCTGGAGAATAAGTCTGGGCGGATCTCACCTGAAAACGACTGACTTCATTTTCGCTAAAAATGTCATCTCCTTCCTGTGGGCATACCACTCGACGGACCTCATCAAAGCTGTACCTCTGGCTTGTCAGGTCGTCAGTCCGACGACAAGTCAACACCACTCCTCGGCTCATCTCCAACTACAGTGTACATTCGTAGAAAGGTTAATATATGGAATGATTATGCTAAATCGTTCTGGTATTCACTATTGTATGTATATATATACATATATAAGTGTATGTGTGTGTGTGTGTTTGTGTACAGCTTAAAAGCAGAAATCATATAGAAGTGGTATGACCTCGTTTTCGCAACTTGCTCGTGTTGTCAGGGCGACTAAATTGGACGCACCTTGTCCAATGTCCCTTGCTAAAGCAGATGTCATCATTTTCAGCCCACCACCAGACATGAATCTTGCCATGTTCATCAGTTCTTCCAGCGCAGGTCTGGAACTGTACCAAATCCATGCTCCAACGCTGGAAATAATGACAACTGCTATAGCAGACGACTTTTGGCAACAAGGCATCCAACTTGGTCGCCCTGACAACCCGATTGGGTTGCGAAAACGAGATCAGACCAATTCTACAAATCGATAGGAGACTGCCACCAAAAAAGAGGTCACAATCTCTTCGTCTTCATGTTAATAAAACATATAATTGATGAGTTGATACAATTCTTTTTTTCTCAATCTACACACAACTCGTCGAGATGAGCTGGTAGCTTTTGCAGAAGGCATTCAGGCTTGCCGAAGTGACTCAAATGAAGTGCAGTTGTGCCGGTCTCTGACGAATTGTCTGGCCGACAAAGCGTTATCATCTCATTTTCAGACAAATCCTCGCTACAGACTTTGCTTCATTGCCAAAGTGAACATGCAACCAGACGATTTGTGGAACTGCCCAGCGAATCCGTTGACCTTTGGGTCTGCAGGTCTACAGTCAAATGGACGACAGGATCAGCCGGGCCTGCTTTTGGCGGAGTTGCACCAACTTCCCGCCGAGGGGTGGAGGACAGTCAGTGTCTTGGAGGCATGTGATGGTTGGCAGAGTGAACAGCAGCAAAAGGGCACCAAAGTCATCCACCGCCTGATTGGCGGTTCGGTGGGCGACGACCCGGTTTTCTCCCACATCCAACTGTCCAATCACGAGTCGCCGAGTAGCCCGGTCAGAAGGACTGCCAACTGTCGGCCGCCCGGCAACAGATGGGCGGGGGGACATTGACGGACACATGTCCATCAGGCACGGGTTGGGCCGACAACAGCCCGACTCTGCTGCGATGCGGAGGAGGCAGAGTGACTTGGCTCGAGTCCCGTTGCTCTGAAGGGGCGGATTCGGGGGATTGTCGTACCAACTTGGCCGCGGTCCCACGAGGAGGACGCGCACGCTCTTCAAAGTGCTGGTCGAGCTATGAAGAAAAAAGACGAATTTTCATACCACCGTGTAGAGAATTCAGTTATCGGACCTCGTTCATCTTATGCCACCTCGATTGAAGGCAATTATTATTTCAGATCGACTGACAATTTCAAGGCCTACTCATTCTCGCTATAAGTAGTGCAGATGAGTGCACTGGCAAACGTACATTCGCTTCATCGACAAATCAACCAAAAATGCGATTTTCGAAGAGACCTTTTTTTAAGACTGTATTCATTCTATACGTTTAAGGTGATAAAGGAATGGCAGCTGAATCTTGCCACAATCACATGATTTCACGTCATGGTTCCACTGGAGTGGACTTTAATTTCTACTTTACCTTAACTGGCCTCGTCATAATCCTCACCGAGACTCGAAATTTAGTGGAAATCTGAAGCCAACGCATCGGATTGGAGGAATATTCAAATGCAAGTCCTTTATTGTCTCAAATGAAATAAGGGAAATGTGGCTCCTGTACCTAAGATCTACTGGCGATCTGTCTTATATTTCGTTTATAAGTGGATTTTCGAGACTACCAATATATTATGAC